CTATTGATTTATTGCAAACAAGTAAATAAAACCGGTTTGGGTTTTAAAAAGAAAGAAAAAAGAAAAAACATGTCACTGGGGCCTCTGAGATGGCTTAGAAAGGAAGAGTCCTTGCCACCACATCTCAAGTCCCTGGTTATCGTGTCACTTGGTGAAAGGGGAGAGCAGAGCCCTTTCAGTGTCTTCTGACTTGCACCACAGCATCTGTGCCCCCCATGCACACACATAAATGCATGTAATTTTTCCTAAGAAAGAACAAATGCTTTCCATTTCAGAATGCTAAAGTCTGAAATAACGTCACATTTTCACAAGAAAACTAATTCCCATTGTGAACAGATGTATAAATGATAACCTTTCAGGATTTTTTTCTTTTAAACGCTTGGCATTTCTATCTGGGCATGGTGGTGCACACCTGTCATCACAGCATCAACAGGATTGTAGGTTTGAAGCCAGCCTGAAGGACACAGGAAGACCTTGTCTCATAACAGAGCTGATCAGAAACAATGCTGAGCTTCTGTTAAATGCCAACATATATTTGAGTTGGCCTCTGTGAGGTCTTACTGCTTTGTGACTTGTCTTGAAGGTATCATTGAGATGTGTTCCCTGAACCTTATAATTCACCTCACAGTGTATGATTGAGGTGTTTCAGTATTTTAAGGGTTATGCAGGCAACTTGATCATGATCAACTTAGAGAATGCACTTCACCCAGTACAAGCCCTGCATTCACTGGCAAAAATCTTCCATCTCCCACTCTGACCCTCACTCCCAGCCTCAGGCAGACAGATAATCAGTCTTCATTCAGTCTATGAGTTTGCCTGTGTTAGGCGTTTGATATCAATGGAATCACACAACATGTAGTATTTTTGATTGGCATCTTTTACTTGACCCAACATTTGTAAGGTTCAACACTGTTGTAGCATGCATCACTACTTTATTCCTTTTCTACTTTGAAATTTTTTAAGACTTATTTTAATTGTTTTATAATACTTACAAGTCTTTTTGCATGAGTAGAAGGCATCGGATCCTCTGGAATTACACGTGGTTGTGAGCTGTCATGTGGGTGCTGGGAATTGAACCCAGTCCCCTAGAAGAGCAGCCACTGCTCTTAACTGCTGGGCCACCTCTCCAGTTTTCCTTTGTTCTTTTAAATACTATTCTGTCATAGTGTTTTATTGTGATTCCATCAATGAACATTTGAGTTGTTCTCCTTTTTTTGGCTATAGTGCTGCTATTCCATCTGTATGGAAATTTTAAGAGTAGAATTGGGCACTATACAAAAACAAGTCATGATCTGAATGAGGATTACTGCAAATTTGTAGCTCCCTTCGGATTCTATGAACATTTTAATATTAATTCTTCCAATCCCTGCCTATGGGTCGGATGTGTCCCACAAGCCAGCACTCTCTTTGATTTAACTCACTTCCCAGGTGAGGCATCCTGGCGTTGGGCTTATCTGTTCGGTAAGAACTTACAGATCTTAATGGAGATTTCTGTTCTTCCTGGCCCCAAAGCCGACTAGCCCCAAATGAACACACAAGGATTTATATTAATTTATGAACTGTTTAGCCAATGGGAAGGGCTTCTTACTGGCTAGCTCTCTCTTAATTATTAACCCATTTCTATTAATCTAAGTATTCTCATGTGCTCTTGGTTTACCCGGTAATACCCATCTGCCTCTACATGGAGTCTCTCTGGCAGCTCCTTTCCCCAGCATTCTCCTCATCTACTCATCTGGTCACCCACCTATGCTACCTGCCTGGCTACTGGCCAATCAGGGTTTTATTCATCAACCAATAAGAGAAACATATATACAGAAGGACATCCCCCATCAGTAAGGTATCTGTGAATGAGGGTAAGGAAGTTGCTGCAGATGTGTGGGCCTGAGCAGAGGCTCAAGTCTACCCTCACACTCTTCCAGATGTGTTTGCAAGCATATTTAGATAGTTTACAATAAAGCAGAGTTCATCATGAGACCATTCAACTTCAGAGTGCTTACAATCAGTCCACAGTAGTATCTACAGGAAATGGAATTGACAGTCTCTCCTTGAGCAAACTCTAGCCAGGAATCTCTGAATCCTCTCTCAACTATTAATAGCTTCAACAAGACTTGAACCAAGTAGGAACAGTTTTATGCAACCCAAAATTACCTCCCTAGGATGCTCCAGGTATTAAGGTGGCTGCCTGAGAAACTCAAGGCTACCCATAGAATTGACTGCTTGCTCCAGACTACAGTGTCCCTATCTCCGAGCCTCTGCCAGAAACACAGAGACCAACACCTCCCCATGTGTCATTTAGCAGCACATCCCAGCATGCAATTTACATGAGACAACTTCTCCTCCCCCTCCTCCTCTTCTCCCTAATTTTTCATCTTCCTGATCCTGTGGAAGCCTCCCTCTTGTTGGGCCCTGTTTCCTTCACTATAACATCTGTAAAAATTAAAGTTCCCTTTACTTCATGCTGGTTGCTCCCCAATTACAACCACATATTGTTAGCTGTCCTTGATGCCTGACTGTGTCCAGTTTCATCTCTGACAACCCCACTGGAAAGGATTCATTTTTCCAGCAGCAAATGTGCAGGACTGTGAAGGGCACGATTCTTTGAAGAAATGTTCCAAAAGGCCATACTTTTGATATCAGCTAACCCCATACTCTGCTTCACATCTGGTAGGACTGGTCTAGAGCTGGGAACTCTTACCGGTGTTTACAATGCCCAGAGATGACTTGTCAAATTCTTGGAACCTGAAAGCATACAAGAGGAAGAGAACCTCACATTGCTCAGAGGGGTCAAGTTCAAAGTGAAGGTGTAAGCAAAATGGAGAAAATTGGAGCTATCATCAAAGTTTGCTCACAAGCACTCCTAGTGACCCTTAGGCCCACCCCATGGGGCCGTTCATGTGTGTGTGCCTGTGCAGTTGTCTGTGTTTTCCAGGCTGGAGAGCTGAGAACTAGGGCGAAGTTTGGAACACTTTGTGCTGTCTAATTTGAGTGGACCTATCAACAGGCAGGCTGTGCTCAGACATGGAGAGGTGAACCCACAGCTTGCCCTCTTGTCCCCACCTTCTTACCCAGGTTGTGTTATTTGGAGACTCTTGAATACTGCTAGGTAAAAAAAAGCATTTTTCCAGAATGTTAAGCTTGGAGACGGGGAGGATTTTTAAAGGTCATTCAGGACTTATGGAGCACTTCAGATATAACATCCCTCCTTTGACCTAGATAGAGCTCAGAACATAAAGCTAAGTCATTTGGTTTTTAAAGGGGGTTGTGCTTGCCTATGCACACAGCCACTCACATCTGCTCAAAATGTCTTGAGAATGGACTACTAAATATTCATTTCTTTACCAGAGAACAACTGAGTGGCTAAGGGACAGGACCTTCGTGTGAAGCACCGTGTGTGTGTGTGTGTGTGTGTGTGTGTGTGTGTGTGTGTGTGTGTGTGGTTTAACATTTGCTCAGTGCATACATCCCTCACCACCCACTCCACTTTCCTCCAACCCCATACCTTTCCCACCCCGACCATAATGGTAGGAATGAATCCAGGGTCTTCCAGCTATTCACCAAATGCCGTTCCATTGAGAAACATCCCCAGTCACTTTTCCCTCAAGATGGCTGAATGTTCCTCTTGCTCATTTACCAAATGTAGACACCAATGAAGTGTGGAATTATAGGGTCTGGGCAGAATTCTGTTAGTGGTGTCCAGTGGAACTGTCTGTGCAAGGGAATCTAAACATCTGTGCAAAGCACCATCTTCCTGTTTATTTCTTTGGGGACAGGAGACAGGAAAAGAGGAGCCAGACATTTTTGGAAGATGTCCACAGTGGTGGCATACAGGAAACAAATGTCTTTATCATTTCAATCTTTGTATTTCCTTCATCATGGGTTTGGTAATGAAAATTAAGACAAAAATATTTGGGGGGGTTCACTGAATTGAAACACAGGTTAGAAGGACTGTTTGGTGCTTATTTTTTGTAAAGATAACCCTTTGGGTGTGACTGGCAGGGTTGAACTCCTAAATCCTTCTCTTTTGTTTGTTTGGGGTTTTTTTTTGTTTGTTTGTTTGTTTTGTATTTTGACACAGTTTCTCTGTGTAGCTTTGGAGCTTGTCCAGGAATTCCCTCTGTAGACCAGGCTGGCCTTGAACTCATAGAGATCCACATGCCTCTGCATCCCAAGCACTGGGATTAAAGGCATGTGCCACCACCATCCAGCCTAAGTCCCTCTTCTAATTAAGACACGTGCCCTGTAAGCTATCTCCAGACTGTGATGGTCTAACACAGCCCCAAGCCAACCTTGCAAAAAATCCCCCCTCCATTCTCTAACAGAAACATTTGAGGAAAACTTGTAAATAGGTGACTGCTCCTAAGAGGGTTTGCAAAGTGCAGAAAGATCCCAACACCTCTCATCCACAGGTCAAGTGAAACTCCTTTCCCTTTGTTCCCCATTGAGTGGCCAGAGGATCCAGGTGAGGATAGGTAAGTGTTTGGCATCAAAGACTCGGGAGCCAAGGCACTGTAAGTGAAGATATACATGTTTGTTTGTAACTTCAAAATCAGTATGTCTACAAAGAAATAGATGACCCTAGAATGGTTGGTATTGATTGCCAACTTAACACAATCTAGAATAACCCAAGAGAGAAACACAGAAACATATGGGCATGCCCGTGAGAGATTTTATAGGGTAAGTTAGCTGAGTTGGGAACAGGCATCCTAACTGTAGGCAGCACCATTCCATGGCCTGGGACCCTGGAATGAGTAAAAAAGGAGAACTCAAATTGAGCTCAGCAAGCAAGCAAGCATCCTCTCACTGAGCCCCCACCCTCGCCCCATGACAGACTGCACACCCCTGGGACTGAGAGGTAGAATAACCCTTTAGTCCTTAAGTGGCTTCGGTCAGGGTTTTGTTACAGCAATGAGGAAAGAACTAATTCCTAGTGGGTGATGGACTGGACTGAGACTTGGGATGGAAACCACCCCAACCCCCAGAGAAAACACATCACACAGAGATACACACATGATAACATTTATTTTAAAAAAGAAAATAATAATTTATGCCCTTGACAAAACAAAAGTTCTAATAATATAAATGTTTCTTAGAAAATATATGAAAAGATAACATAACAAATATTAATAAATCAATATTCACATGACAGCAAAAGTGGCAATAACTCCACCAGAAGGATGTGAGGAGGGTGCCGGCCTGCACACAGCAGAGTCTCTGGAAAGGGCTCCCGTTCCTTCTTTCTCCAACAATGAGGTGCCTTTCTGATTGAGAAAACCTGATGCAAGTGAGTCTAAACTTAGGAAATTGACTGGTTAGGAAGCTGGTAGTTATTTCCACTGCAAAATAATTCTTTACAAACAAAAAATTCATCAAGGATCCTTTAAACAGCAATTTTCCTAACATGTTCAGCATACACCTAACCAAATCCACATGTCCCTAACTTCTTTCCAGTGTGGCTCTGTGGCAAAGAGTGAGGTGTGCCTGAAGTGCTGCGGCAACAGAGGTGACTTGGGGCCTGAGTGGAGAGGGTGCTCCTATGACAGCATGAAGATATGGGTATGGGAGCTGCCCTCTGCCTTCTGCTTCTCCTATCCTGACCTCTCCCTTTTCTTGTCCCAGCTTCTGTTAAACCGTTTGCCCAGCGCTCTCAGGGTAAGGAAGTTAGATGTTGGAGGTAAGGGGGCATAATGAACTCATGAGTCCCACTCCTGGAGAGCTGAGTAAGGGGAGAATCTGGGGTTCCGGATGTGTATTGGATGTAACTGGGGAAAGTAGAAATAATCCTCGATTCTTGATGCAGTGCTTTTTAGGTCCCTCTCCCAGCAGGGACATCTGACTGTCTGAGGACCAGCCCAGTCCAGCCCTCTTTTGATGGGACATGTCTTCAGGATGATGCGTGAGGGCCTATTTGTCACACTCCTCCTGGCTGCCTTCAGCACAGTGGTAGTACTGTTCACAGAACTCCTGGATCCGGCTACAAGCCTCCAGCATCATCACCTCAGGAACTGTGATGACAACTCGGAAGAAATTTGGGTACTCGAAGCACTGCAAAAACAAGGACTTGTTATCTCCAGGGCAACTAAATCTGATATTGGCTCACCCTGGCCTCTAGTCTGCAAGACAGGGTAATCCATTCCATCAGGGGTGTCAGTTTGCTCCACACCCTATCCCTGGAGTGCTGAGTCTGCAACTGAGTTAATTCATCTTAAATTAGACTGTTCTCCTCCCACCCACCAGTGTTTCCAATTTTTCTTCCTGTTACTAGGGGGAATAATGATGGGAGAGAAACTGATTTTAGGTAGAAGCCATAAAACACATCAGTTAGAATCTTTCAAATGAGAATACTTGTCATGGGAGCGAAGGCTAGGCTAAACCACAGCTCAGGAAGACACTGGGGTCTCCAGGAGCTGTTGGGATGTTTGGAGACACCAGCACTCACCGTAGCTGGGAGGCAGTGGACAGACTGCTCTGCAACTAACCGCTCTGTGAACTCCACATCATTCTTAAATTCTGGGAAATGGTCCATCTCGATTCCAACCTGAACCAACAATAAGAGAGACCAGTGTGTCACCTGAAGAAACTGGCATAGGGTCAGATTCCTATGCCAGAAAGGAGAGCAGGGATTCCTTGGAGGTGTCTGGGAACTCTCCCACCCATAACTAAGAGAACCAATGCTAGGGAACTCAAAAGCTCCTAGGAGGAAGGAGAGGACATGTTTATGTTCATATTGTATTTTATTAGAGGGTTGGTTCCTCCGTGGATGTTGATAAGTGAAAACAGGAAAAAGAATGTTATTTCTCTTTAAAAAAAAAAAAAAAGTAAAGTCAGCATTAGGACTAGGTCATCTTTTACTTTGTAGGGTCTACCCCATCAATTGCAAGACATTTAGCATCCCTGGGCTACAAATAGCAATAGTGAGCCTGAAGACAAAATCCCTATGTGATCCCCTCCCTCTGAAGGAACTGACATCACTCTCAGTCATGACACAAAGCATGCCCCTGCATCTGTGCACAAGATGGGTGACTCTACTGGAGAATTAGGTTCTTGAAAGAGTGCTGTGAACACAGGTTAAAGAAAAGCACTGGGATCATTCCTAACAAGTCTCTTCCTGAAATGATGGGGACTGGGGCCTAACTCATTGTCTTAGTAGATGGAGGCATAACCTGTATGACCACCCATGACGATCCTGCCAAGCCAGTCTCCTGTGCTTTATCACCATAAACACACACACACACACACACACACACACACACACTTACCATAAGGTACATGGCTCCAGAAGGGCGAACTGGCTGGAGTCCAGGAATGGCAGCCAATGCCCCATAGCAGAGGTCTGCATTGGACTACAAGAAGAGGCAGAGAGAGAGAAAATCAAGGATGAAATTTTAAATAAAAGAAAAACATGATTTTTATTTGTAATGCTTTGTATAATAAAGTTATTTAAAAAAAAAAGAAGAAGAGGGAAAACACCATTGAAGGTAGAGCTTCAGAAAGCCACAAACCTAGGCTTAATGTTATAGCACAAAAAGGTAACAAGGACAACCCCATCTCTTAAAGTTCTTAGCAAGACAGAGTGAATTACAGGAAGTAGGAAGAATGTGCCTATGGAAAATGACATTGATGCCACCCCCTGATTTGGAAGCCTCATGTTGAAACAGTGCTCCAGAAATTAGGGACAATTATTCCTAATTCCACTGATGTGTTCTCTGGTTCCCAAATTTCTCAAGTGGAAGGCTCCAAGCTGCTCTTTACCTTAAGGAAGCTTAAAGTGTCTTGGTAGAATTCTTGAGGGGTACGCTGAAGGATGCTCTTCAGAGCTCCTTGAACAATGGTGCATGGTCCCAGGATCCGCTGACTCAGCTTCACCAACCCATCTCGAATCTAGACTCCCCAAGGAAACAATTTATTTAGCATTTCTGAAACAGTCCTCTGTTGTGACTCTATCCTGACCTTTCGGTCGGGTTTTTAGTCTCAGCACATGATGGCACCTAGCGACCCTGTTACATTAAACCACCTGAGTCTGGGGTCCTTCTCTGTCACAGCCTATGTGTGACTGCTGGCAGATGATGTAGTTTCTCTGCACTCTGTTTCTCTTGACTATAAAATGGTCTCATAGGATGTATGAAGATAAAATAAAATAGGATTCATAAAATGTGAATAATAGTACTGTCATTACCATGATTGTTTGTCCTTTTATAGCCTTAAATTGGAGGTGGATGAAATTTCTTCACAGACCCAGAGACCCAAGCATGTGGACACTGGGTTTGGATGAGAAATGTCTACCACATCTTTATTCATCATGTTTCTAGGCTCTATGAACAATGTGTCAGAAAGGAAATCCTACCTCTGCAACACAGAATATTCAAACCAAATACATATATTAAAGTATCCATACTATTTCACTATATTGCTCTCACCTCATTGCCAAAAATGTCTCTTCGATCATGAATGAGGATCCAGCCCAACCGCCAACCAGGAACCAGCCAGCGTTTGGCCAGCCCACCACAGGACAGGATGGGGACATTGGTGCTGAGGGTGGCGAGTGGTTCATATTTGTGATCTGAAAACACCTGAGGAAAAGAAGAACTCTTAAATGCTCTGGACCTCGTGCCTCCCAGTTTTCTTCTTAGACGTTGAGGGGGAGAGTAATGGATCGACAGGCCCCTTCCCATCCTCAGGCATCACTGGATCCCATGAGGTTCAGGAAAACTTATCCAAAGACATTTAATTTGGTGTGTGTAGTCTGGATTAAAGGAAAGCTAAAAAGAGGTCAGTGACACTAGTCTAATAGTGTGTACAGCTTCCAAAAACTGCCACTGTGGAATTATGACTGGTGAGGTGATAGCTCTGATGTGGGTCCACAGTCCAGTATCCTACATTCCTGAGCACAACTCTGCTGCAGAACGCAGACTTCTGGAGGGGTTAAAAGGCTGTGTGTCGTACATATTTCATGCATGCACATATGTCATGTGTGATATTTCCAAGGAAGTCTAGAGCAATACATCCCCAAGCAGTGATATTAACAACCCTTCCTCTTCATTTGCACCTTTATTCTTATTTCTGATCCTGGGAGTTGGATCCCATCTCAAACATGCTAGCTAGGCATGTACTCAACCTACATGCCTACATTTTGAGGACCTTCCACAAACTCTTAAATATACACATCCTTAAGAGTCATAAACAAAAAATCTACAAGTGCCTTTATATCTTATCAATTTGGCATCTGTAGTCAAGTAAATTCCAAGGACTTTTGAATTTCCCAGCTCTTTAAATAAACAAAAATATAAGGAGACAACTGGGGGGTTGTGGTGGTGGCACGCCTTTGATCCCAGCACTAAGGAGGCTGAGGCAGGTGGATCCCTGTGAGTTAGTTCCAGGCCAGTCTGACCTACAGTAGCTCCAAAGCTACACAGAGAACCCCTGTCTCAAAAAACAAACAAGCAAACAAATAAAAGGCTAAGGAGACATTTGTTGAGAAGGCTGTACATTATAATCAATCGCTTCCAAAGATTCCACTAGCCAACTCTAGATGCTCCATAAAGCAATATGGTACTGACACTCCTATAGAGTTATAAGCCACCCCAGACTTACCATGTCACCATAGATCTCATCAGCTAAGATGGGAACACATTGTCTCTCAGCCACTGAAAAATAACAAAACCCACGCTGGAATCATTTCCAGTTTGAATAACCTGTTGTTTCCTACATACCTAGTCCTCTGTGAACTGTATTCTGTGCTCATAGACTGACCATCATCCTCTTAGGAACTAAATATATCTGACCTTCTTCCAGATGTTAGCCTAGATGCACCATTTAACCACACCTTTCAGACTCTCTTCCATGGAAGTGACGAAAGGCAAATATGGGTGAAATACCTCTTACCCAAAATGCTTGAGATCGGGGGTATTTGAGACTTTAGTGTTTTATTGTTATACTTTGTTAGGTTTTTTTGTTTGTTGTTTGGGGTTTTAAAAAGATTTAGACAGACTTCCCACTTGAACATTTCTAATCTGAAAATACAAAATGAACCAAAATGGAATGCTTGCCATTTTTAAATTAGGGATGTGCAGCTTCTATTTCTCATATTTCGCCTTTTTTAGACTAGCCCTGGGGGTCTGTGACACATCATGACTAGAGACTGGGCTGGCATTTCTCCACCTCCATCCTAGGCACGGGATTTAGGAATTCTGCTCTAAGGTCCTTCCCTGTGCAGGGGCCTTTGGCACTTACCTGCCAGTATCTTCTGAAGGTGCCTCTTACTAAACACAGAACCACAGGGATTTGACGGGTTATTGACAACGAGACACGCTGTTTTTTCATCTATCAGAGATTCCATGTGCTTTAGGTCAATTTCCCAAGACTTTTCAGGCTGAGAAAATAGAAAGAGTAAGGCTAAGATGTTTCTGAACAATTTAGGGGAAATACTCAACCCAAGGGTTTAATGTAAAGAATAAAATAAGAGGCCAGCAAGATGGCTCAGCTGGTAAAGGCACTGGCCACCATGCCTGATGACCTGAGTTGCATCCCTATGCCCCACAGGGTGGAAGGAAAGCACAGAACCCTGAAGTGTGTCTTTAGAACCTCATATATGTGATATGACTTGCACACACCAAACTCACTGCCCCATGCACACTCACAAAGTAAATAAATAAATATAATTTTTTAAAAGAATAAAATCTGCCTCTGGCCCCAACTTCCCACCTGCAGACCATTCTCTGTATGATGGTGATCATTTCTTCTTTACAGGGTAGTAACTGAGTACTTGAGTCAAAGATTAAAAGTCAGAGCCTGGAGAGATGGCTCAGGTGTTAAGAGTACTTGCTGTTCTTGCAAAGGACTCAGGTTCGATTCCCAGCACCCACATGATGGCTCACAGCCATTTTTAACTTCAGTTCCAGGGGCTTTAACACCCTCTTCTGGAAGGCACACATGTGGTACACAGACAAAATACTCATACATACAAGATAAAATAAACATTTAAAAAAATCAAAACTCAATTACCAATAGATTGTAGAGCTTGACCTCAATTCCCATAGATTCAGCCAAAGTCCTATAGAGAGAAAACCCTGGTCTTGGAACGAGAATGTTTTGTCCTGGATTGACCAACACAGCTAAACAAAGCTCAATAGCTTGACTGCAGCCACTTGTCAGAATGACGTCCTGTAAAGAAAGGAGAAGGGTGGGCGTTGGTGAGTGGAAAGCAATGTTGAACTTATTTCAGTAAGGACCAAGGAAATAGGAAGGGTTGTTCTGAGCCCAAACCAAATCTATCTATCTATCTATCTATCTATCTATCTATCTATCTATCTATCTATCTACATACCTGCATACCTACACACCTACATACCTATCTATCATCTATCATACCCATCTCCAACCTATCTACCTCCCTATCTATCATTTATGTATGTGTCTTTCTACTACCCATCTTTCATCTATCTTTAAATGTTGTTGAAAATGATGGCCACTTAAGAAAAATAAACAAGTCACTTTAGAAAGAACAAGCTGGTTATGATTCAACCAACCCTCAAGGGAGATCTTCGATTGACCTTGAGCTATTTTTTCACCAGGTTATTTATTTACTTTTGACCACAGATTTGAAACCTGCCATTTCTGTAAACACAGATGAAATACACCTCTTTGACAGCAGCCTCTAAAGCTGGCACTAACACGGACTCAGTATGCCTTGAGACCCCTGGCATTCTGTCTCAGTGCCCTAATGTGAGTAAAGGAAGTTACATACTTAAACACATCCTAGTGATAAATCCTTTTAAATTAAATATTTTCTAATTGTGAATAGTTTCTCAATGATCTTTTGAAGAAAATCAAATCTAGGAAGATTTGGGGGGTTTTGGGACTCTGTGACAACACACAACGTAAGTGTAGGAGACGCCTCTTACACTGTAGTGACATTAATCACAATTACTGATCAGTGATCCAACTGTATAAGAAGTTCTCCACTTGCTAAAGGATGGTTCTCAGCTCCCTTCAAACCATCACTCCTTCCTTGTGGGATGGGGACAAGGAGTCCGCCTGCCATCAGTGGCCTCTGGGCTGGTCCCCCTGCTCACCTTAGCTTCCAGGGGAGCCTCAGCACAGTGGTAATAGGAAGCAACCTCCTCCCGACTGGATAGGTAACCTGAGAGAAGACAGGAGAGGAAGCTGGAGCTTTTCATCCCTTGAATGACAGTCTTGCCCCAAACTTCAACGCTGCTTCCAGCTGCCTCCTGTCTTGGCTTGGAATCAGCTCATTCTATGTAGCCCAGTCATCATATGTGAAGGAAATTAACTCTATATGTGGCAGTTTTATTAAAAGCACAAATATATGACGACGACAAGAAGTAGTTCCCCATCCATAAAGTGCACTGCATAATCTTGACTGCTCTGATTAATTTATGCTGCTTTAAATGAGGATTTAAATTATCCCTAAGTGCCTTCATATAGTCTGTTGTTGGAAATGCCATCAACAGCTTCAAAGCGTAAGGTCCACTTTCAGTGTTTTAGCTTATATAACATAGTATCTTTGTACATGGATTCTTCTGGAACATTCTCAACATGCCATACAGGCTTGATGTATTGGCAGTTTCAAACGTATCAAATTGTTTTGCATAATTGCCTTCCAGGACACAAGTTAGCAAGGAAGCAAACAGTATTCGTCCTCTTTAATTTAAGACATATGGATGGTTCTTTCAAGTGACATTAATCAACATTTCCTACTTTATTAATGAGGAAGAATGTATTCCTGGAGACCATCATCACCGCCAGCCACCCTTCCTTGTGCAATGCTCAGACACTGTGAACACTGCTCAGACCAAGGCTTGACTCCAGTCTCCAAGCTCAGTTGGTTCCCTGATACTTTGGATAATAAAATTATATGTGGATTTGTCAGGGTGTGCACATATCACAGCACATGTGTGGTGGCCAGAGGACAACTCTGTGGAGTGGATTCTGTTCTATTTTGTGGGTCCCAGGGACTGAACTCCAGTCATTAGGCTTGGCAGCAATCATTTTTACACACTAATACATCTCACTTGCCTTCACTGTAGTATTTTTGTGACCTAATGTTGAGTCTTGAATTTGATTGTTATTCTACGCAGCTTTCTAATATGTAAGTAATTCTCCTAAAAAAAAGCATGTCCCAGCTGGGCTGTGGTGGTGCACACCTTTAATCCCAGCATTCCGGAAAAAGAAGTAGGCAGAGCTCTGTGAGTTCAAGGCCAGCCTGGTCTACAGAATAAGTTCCAGGACTGCCAGAGCTACACAGAGAAACCCTGATAATAATAATAATAATAATAATAATAATATCCATTTCCATGATTCCTCTTGGAAAGCTTTTAAATCTGATATAAGTATGAAACTAGGTTGTTGTTCTCTCAGTCTGCATTAAGAATGCCTCAATATATACAACACCCAGGGGAAGATATACAACATGAAAATAAAGTCAAGGAATTACTTGTTTTACTTATTTATATTTCTCTCCCTCTCTTCCTCCTCTGTCTTTCTGCATGTGAGACACACACACACACACAAGTTTAAAAGCCAGGCACATGCCTATAATCTGAGCTCTTGAAAGGCTAAGGAGGATCACTAGTTTGAGGTCAGACTGTGTTATATAGCAATGTGCAAAACTAGAACAAAACAAGAGAAAGCACTACAGATCTTGAAGCCACCAGGGTTATTTCTGGGCAAGCTTACCAATGGATGGGGCATAGCCATTGTATTTCCCAGAGTCCAGGGCATCTTTCATGGCTTGGGTAACTTCAGGGTCTGTAGGCAGGTTTCCAAACACAGTAGGGTCCCCTGTTCATGGGAGAGAAAGGCAAAAGAGCCACCTAGAGTTTATGTCCCCATGTTTGGGTATCATCTCCTCTCATCTCTTCCAGCCTGCCCAAGAGGATGGGAGGTGGGTGGGCAATGCCAACCCTCCATCAAGTGGCCCAAACTCACCAATTGACAGTGAAATCACAGTTTTGTTTGGATTGGGCTTCACCTTCATGTTGTCCACAATGGCCCGGATGGGATTAAAAGTTTTGTTGGACATGTCAGAGGGCCTCACATTCCATCTGGCCTTCCTGCCTTTCATTTTCCCCTGCCCTGAGCTTCTCCCACCGATGTTGACATGTACATCCAGAACTGAAGGCAGGCTGTCATTGCCATTCATCTGAATCACATAGGAGTCCATGGCTCGCAAAGCCTACGGGGAAAAGAAACACACCTCTGTGATGACTAAAACAGTGCACCTTGGGATGGGGAGTTAAGCAGGGGTGAGGGGTGACTTCACAGATGCATCTTTCCAACTCTTGTATACGCTTTCACTTGTGAGGTAGCCTTGCTGTGAATGGGGGAGGGGGTAAAATGTATTGAGATGGAAAATAAAGAAACAACCCATTGTACAAAATTAGCAGAAAGCATTTAATTTAATTTAATAATTTAATAAAGAATACTTCTTTATTACAGGTGGGTGCTTTTCTCTTGTCTTTTGTGTAAGCTTGTACATGCATGTGCACATGTTCCTGTGAAGACCAGCACATGCCACTGCAAATGTGTGGAGGTCAGAGGACAGCCTCAGGTGTCAATCCACACCATACACCTTGTCTGAGACAGGATCTCACTGTGGGACACCACCACACTTGACTTTACTGGGGTCCTAGAGATCTGAAGTCGGCACACTTAGGTGACAGGCGTCTTCCTACTGAGCATCTCTCCAGCTATGAATAAGTGGGAGTTTTCTATAAGCAACTCTAATACTCATGCTCTAAATCAAACCAAGAAATGCTAACAAGAAAATTTTAATCAAAGCATGTGGGTGACCATCTGTCCATAGAGACCCCCTCTCCTCCAAAGAAAGGGTCTTCCCGGTGTTTCAGCCTGGGCAGCTTGGCAAGACCCTGTCTCAGAAACTTTATACAATTAAGGTAATATCTCAGTGGTGGAAGGCTTAGTTAGCAGTGTCAGGGTCTATGTTAATCTCTGATACTATTATGAGAGAGAGAGAGAGAGAGAGAGAGAGAGAGAGAGAGAGAGAGCAATAAAGAGAGAGAGAGAGAGGAATATCAATGCCAGTTAAAGTGAAGTCATAAGTATCACATCTCTGAACAGAAAAAGTCAGAATATAAGAAAGAACCAGGGTTATCCCAATCACCATCACAGCCCAGAGGGCCTGGGACTTACCTTCCACTTCTGGGCAAAGCAGCCTCCAGGAACCAAAACTATGAGCTCAGGAACAGTCCTCCACCAAGTCCTGTGACCATGAGTTCAGGTACAGCCCTGACCCTTGAAATAGTTTCAGCCAATGGGCGTTGGGCCTGAAACCCTTATACTATTGGCTGAAAGTAAGAACTAAGCCCTCCTCTGGACCTCCCCAACACACCCTGCTGTTTCTCACCCTAACCCTGGGCCACCATCCAATCTGGGATTTTGTCCTCACCTCAAGTAGCTGAAGTTCTCTGTGTCAATTCTTTTTATTTTTTTTCTTTTAAGTATTTATTAAACACTATGAAAACCATAAATTACCCAGATGTGTTCTGCACTGGCAAGAATCTTACATGTATAACAGGGAGTTAGTTGGCTAATTTAAAATACATCCATGCTCTGTGTCAATTCTTTTTCTCGTCAGTTGATAAAATGTTTGAGAACATTGTGGAGGGCAGTTAGGACAACAATGAGTAACGTTATTGCCCCTTTTTATTATGAAAAGTATTATGTTAATAGTACAGAAATACATTAAAAATTAAGGTCCTTCTGGTACCCTTCTCTTTGTAGACTCGATTCACACTCCTGAACAGAGGCAATGGTAAGAGCTTAGTTGAATATTCATCTACCATATGTGGGATTTGCCATGGATAGCTGCAATCTCCACAAAAACCCAAGTAAAAGCCAAATAAAAATTCCATCAATTTACCAAAATAGATAGGTATATGGATAGATAAATATGAATACCTAGATACATGCGTATATAATTTAATAAAGTTTCAAAGCAAAGATAGAATCATATTCTCCAGCGTGTTTGAGAATATAAATTATTATTACTATTACTACTATTATTTTTTTCTGGTGCCTTAATCTGTAACACGAAAAATAAAAGACCCAGTGACAGATACTGAGGTTCAACCTGAAGATCAGGGAAGCAGATCAGGCAAGCTACCAGAGAGCTCTGACCTCTAACAGGACTGGGGCTTCCTTATTCTCAATGTGGCTGGAGAAAGAATGCTGTACATTGAGATCTTGCTCCTGTCTTAAAAACCTCTTATGAGTCCTGGGATTAAAGGTGTGAGCTATAATTCTCTTTTAGACTGATTCTCTCTTGTTTACATCCGGGTGGCCTTGAACTCATAGAGATCCATCTACCTCTAATCCTGAGTCCTAGGATTAAAGGTGTGCACCACCACCTCCTAGCTTCTGGCTAACTTTGCTTTCTAAATCCTCAGGCAAGCTTTAACAAATCATAATCAATATATCACCACATTAATTTCCTTTACTTAGCATACCACAGAGTTTTGGACTCCAGTTAGAACAAACTGGGCAGTTAAAACAAATTAATACTCAATCAAGAAATAAGGTAGCCAAAATCTCCTCAGCTTTATCTTCATTAGGTGTTCAGTGAGTTAGGAGATCTGAGTGGGCAGGAGAGAATTTCCAAGTACTGGTGTTTTTGTTTATTTATTTGTTTGTTTGTTTTGTTTTTTCATTAAACAATGACAGATTCCCAGAACTGCTTGTAACATCACACAGCAAACAAAGGAACCAGCGACAATACTAGTGGGATCTCTCTCCCAACCAAAAGCACATAATCTGACTCCTGGGTCACGCATGCTCCCTGCTTCTCCAACAGGTGCGAACAACAACTCTAATACCACCCACAAGAGCTGCGCCTGTGCAGTGCTTCAACCATCACAGTGCAGGGCTACAACGTCCACTTTCTGCAATGAACCCGAGAAGGTGGAGTCTGATTTAAATGCATAAGGCTCACATCACCCTGGGCACAACAGAGCTCTAGTGTCCAAAGGTGCAGATCACCATAACAGCCTCCAATAAAAGCTACAGTGAGCCAAAAGCTCAGGAAATGCAACAGAATCGTCCCTGGTGTGTCCCCTTGCCTGTCTAAAGCCTAGGTCCCTATCATTAAAAGTGTGTGGGCCTTTCTGTTGGTCCCTGCCTTTTCTTTGCCTGGAGGAGCTCCTAGCCTTAGACACCTCACCCAAGAACCAAAACAGGTTCAATTCTCAAACAACAAAAATGTCACAAAGTTCTTCCTGTCTCTGCCTCCTGTGTGCTGGGATCAAAGGTGTGCACCACTATTCCCAGCTTCTTTCTCTATTGGTAAGGTGGAATATTCAGTGATCTTTATTTAACACATTCATAGTCTGTGCAACTGTCACGGCATCTGATTCCAGGGTATTTTCGCTCCCAAAAGGGAACTCGTGCCTATATTCATTTTATAGTTGCCCACTCTGGTATGGTAGCCAGTAGTCATAACTGACTTGACTCTTGAAATGAAATGTATTGCTGACACAAATAGACACCACAATGTAAAGATTTAGTGTTAAAAATACCATGTACCTTGTTAATTTTATACTATTGAATATTTAAATATTTGACACTTTGAATAAAGCTATGAAAATTAATTTCAGAGCCTGCTGAGATCACACAGCTAATAAAGTCACTTGCTGCCCAAGCCTGATGACCTCGGTTCCATCCTCAGATCCCATAATGGAAGGAGAGAACCTACTGCTGAAGTTGTCTTCTGACCCTCCACACACACACAAATGCACAAACATACATCACACCACACACACATACACCAGACACACACACATCACACATACTACACACACACACACCACACCACATACACACACACAAATGCACACACACACACACCACCACACACACAAACACACACACATACACCACACACATACACCAAACACACACCACACACACTACAGGCTTACTATACACACTACAGGCTTACCACACACACACGCGCGCGTGTGCGCGAGTACGCGCACACACACACACACACACACACACACCAGACACACGATGGTAATAATTTTTAATTAATTTTAATGGGGGTGGCAAGATGGCTCAGCATTTAAAATCACTGGCTGCCCTTCTAGAGGACCTGGATTTTGTTCCCAGCCCCCACATGGTGACTCACAACCATGCGAACCCCCAATTCCAGGGGATCTGACACCCTTTTCTGAGCTCATGGGAATAAGACACACACAGGGGTGGCAGGGGTGGGCACATTCATACTACATGCAAAAATACCCATTGACAAAAATCAAATAAATAAGTCTAAAAAGCATTTTTAAATTTATTTCCTCATTCTTTTTTAATGCCCTCTGACTTTAAAATTATTCCTTCTAAAATTTGAAATTACTATCTATGTGATACACATTTTATTCTATTAAACAAGGCTGCCCTATGGCTTGGCTGGTTTTACTCTTAATATGTTACATAAACATTTTCCTATTATCATACAAAGAGATCAAGTTTATTCCCTTTTCCTTTGGAGGGAGTGGGGAAGGGTCTATCTATGTCCCAAGCTGACTCTGAACTCCCAAGCTCCCTCCTCAGCCTCCCAAATGCTGGGATCACAGAGATGCACCAAACACCCAGAAGTCTCCTCTGATGGCTACACAGTACTTGTTTGTTCTGTTCTTGTTGGACATGGGGAAACTTCCAGATTTTCTATTGCAAATAAAGCAGACAGAACATCCTGTACAGCAGAGGTTGGTAAATCTTATGCTTCCTGTTATTATGGGACAGTTTTCTAGAAACAGGACTACATTCCAGAGACAGACAGCTCCCCCAGTGATTGACAGTCAACAGGGAGAAGAGACTGCTAGGAGCTCTGGTCCATCTCCTCCTCTGGTGCACACAGACTGCCGGTTTGTGCCCACCCTGCTCCGTGGACAGTTCTCCCTAGGGCGGTGGAGCTAGTTCCCCTTTGCTATGGTTTTCAGTGCCTTCTTGTTTGGCCCCTACACTGTTCACCCTAGAAACTCACATCCATATTTTATCCAAATTTTCTAGGTGTTCTCAGAAACTGAAGGTTTTCCTTCTCAGTTTGCCAGAAATGGATGTCTCTCTCCTTACTAATTTTCTTTTGAAGCAGAGCCTCTGTGCTGCCCTGGAGCTTGCCATGTAGAACGTCCTGATCTGCCTGCCCCTGTCTCCAAGTGCTGGGGTTAAAGGAATCCACCACCACACCAGGCTCTCCTTGCTAATGTTAGATGTTGCTTTACCTTGCATTGAATATCTGTATATTCCTGACTCTTTTATGGTGTGTTCTATTCTAGAATATGCTATACCAGAATGCTAGTTTTTAAACAGTTCTGTTTTGTTTTCAAACATCTCAAAAGTGCCCCAAGCTGGCCTCCCACTCACCATCGCCTTGTCTCTGCCTCCCAGGTGCTGGGGTGGCAGGCATGAGCTCCCGTGGCCTGATTTTACAGTTCTTTAGATATGTTGACAGTTTATTTGCAGAAACACTAATCATCATCCCATCCAGTGGTCTGAAAACCTTTTGGAAGTGTTTTCTAAAATAAACTTTGTCAAATCGATCGATGGGAATGATACTATTAAAGCAGTCATTTTCATCCCTATCATTTAATCCCAAATGCCCATTGTTCGAGTTTCCTGGCCCCCTGTGTTTTATTTATGGAGCATCTGCTCATGTCCCTCACCCACCTCTGAAGAAACCGACTCCATTTTTTCTTAGATGAGACCTTGGCTCAGGATGTGGTTGCAAGGCACCAGAACAGCTGCCTTCAGGCCAGGCTGGCGTGCCTTCAGGTTTACAGTTCAAAGAGCAACAGGCAGCACAGGGTTGGCAAATGGTCCTGCAAATACTGGCTCTGACGCAGAAACTGCAGGACAGAGGGGCATGCCAAGGGGGCATTGGCAGCTGCATCACCCAGGTCAATGTCATGGACACACCTTCATCTGTGCTTGGAGAGCCAACATCAGAACTGAGGTCAGAGGGGAAGTAGGCAGAGCAAACAAGCCGCTTTTGGTAACTAACATTTTCCTTCAATAGCAAGAAGACCAGACAGGAACGGGGATGTGTGTGAGAGGACCCAGTGCTGTGTAGGGGGTTTCCATGACACTGGATGACTTTGAGTCAAGGCCCAACCAGCTTAGACACTCACACAGGGTTCCACCAACAGGCCCAGTGAAGACCTTCTATTGAAAACAAACAAACTACAGCCTGGGGCTTCTCAAAACTAAAC